TTGCCGTTAGCTATGCTATATAAACTCGCGCCTCTTAAACACCAGGCCTTTTGCTTTCTTTCGGGGCTTGCTGGCTTTGATGCCTGGAGTCTGACACCAAAGGGGAACTACGACCAGAGTTGCTGAGATTCGACCACCACAACCACGCGAATCTGCGTGCAGCAGTTGCTTAACTACGCACTTCTTCACGCCAATCAGTTTCAATTGTTAAATCAGGTTAGTTAACAGACGCAACAATTATCAGGTTGTCCGAACCCAAAAAAAACATAGTGAAAAATGCAAAGAATATCATATCTACTGTTGTATATTGAGAGATAAGTACTAACCGCCTATACGGTGCCAGAGTGCCCAGTGTCATGATATATAAGCGTCGAATGCCATTCTGAACATCGATTCGACAGCACACCGCGCCTACGACAATATCATTGAAATATGCTAATTTTGCTAGTTCCCCATCCGAGACAACGTCCCGGTAAAATTTGTCGTTATAGGCAAGCGGGAATACGGCCTGATTCAATCGTTTGAGTTGCTGCAAAACAAAACACATGTGTATATATATATATATATATATATATATATATCCCGAAATACCTAAACAATAACAATAGTATAGCAGAACAACGATATATTCTACTACAACACTGCATAAATTCAAATACTATATAGGCCCGGCTACGATGGGAGGACCAAGATACAAATTCAACCGCAGTCAGTAACTTTTAAGCTTCTACAGTTATGTAGTTCAAATTTACTAAGCATTACCGAGATCCAAAATTCCAGGTGTGGTTGATAACAGAGTTCTCTGGCATTTCCTGCTGCAAGGAACCCGCAAAAAAGGCTAGCAAAACCAGAATTTTTTTTTTATTTCACTATTATACTGGCCTGGTAGGGGATTTGATGGAGTAAAATGTGCAGAATTTTTAGTTCCCCCACAAGGCCCGGTAATAAATGATCTGAAGGTTCGCCCCTTCTGATGCTCAGAGGCTCCTGGAAGCAGGCCTACGAGATCAGGTCCCCAGCCCCATTTCCTACTCAGAAACCGGGTAGTATTCGCTTAGGAGATCAGAAGGCTGTGCTCATTTTTCTGTTGCAAGGATCCTGTGGGGCTGGCCTGAAGAAGAAAAATACCTTGGATCGGCTTAAGTGAACAGAACTTTCTGCCGTCTTCTCTGCTATCCATAGATCCAGTGCGATTGGTCAACAGATTCAGAACTCTGCCTGTTTCAGCGAATTGGCAGATTTAAATTCACCCCTCACTTAAGCGGAGAACTCAGGTACGGTCCCGTGAAAATCTTGGCGCGAAAATTATTAACTCGCGAATCAGAAAAGTTAGAAAGCTGAAATTTCACGAGGGGGGTTTTTTGCGCCTCAGTAATGCGCCTGTCATCAAAAAGTTTGGAGAAAAAGCAAAAGCTACTTCTGTCACAAAAACTATAAGCCCATTGACGCCAAGAAAATCTTGGCGCGAAAATTATTAACTTGAGAACCAGAAAAGTTAGAAAGCTGAAATTTTACGAGGGTTTTTTTTCATCTCAGTAATATGTCTGTTATCAAAAAGCCTGGGAAAAAAGCAAAAGCTATTTCTGCAACAAAAAACTACAGGTCCAATAGCGCCAAATCGACGTGAAGAAGTGCACGGTAAATGGGCTTACCTGCACATTATGACGAGTGACTTCGCCCAGTTCCATGTCAAATCGTCCGGCAGCACGGCGGGGCTTTTGTGGGGGCTCATTCTCGGCATTATCGCTGATGAGCTGTTGCTGATGCTGCTGAGTTTCGTCCTCATCGGTCGTTGTGGTGGTGATATCCTCCTGTTGCCCGTTGTCCTCCTCCTTCGTGTCGCTGTCGTTCTCGGCAGTGGCGCCACCACCTCGGCTTCCCTCATCTCCCTGCACGTCGTTCTCGCTTGCTAGCGCCATCCGGGTCATACCTAAAACACCTGGAGAGGCATATAAATTAGTACGCGTGACGCCCAAAATTCAGAATCTAACAATCTGTCTATCCTACTACACATCATTCTCTTCTTCTCTTCTAAATTGCCTAACATGTCCCCAATTAAATACCGAAATAGGGCACTGTACTGATGATTCCCAACCCATTTCGCAACATTTTAGTGTCTGTGTTTACAGTTCAGGGATGAAACACTGCTGTCACGCAATGCAAATACCGGGCCAGCTTAAATGAGATTGTAAAATTTGGCTTCTTCGCAGAATATCAAATAAACATAGTCGACTATTCGCATTCCTCTTTTCTCTTGTCGCTACACCTTGCCAGCAGCAATGCTACACTTTCCGATACTTATGACAGAGACATATCCA